ATCTCCAAATTAGATGTATGATAGTTCAGGGTCGTGCTACTATGTGTGTGTCTGCGCGGCGAGTCAATTCAAAATATCTCTTAAGCTATATAAATATATATATATATATATTTTGGTGTAAGTGACAAGTCTTTATGTGGTCAATATAATGTTAAACTCTAATAATTAGACGTCAAGAGACAGGCTGAAAATGAGAGTGTGATTAATTCTAAACTTTAAATACTCCAACCACGTATTTTTGGCCAAAGTTTTCAAGTTTCAATTCTGTTGTAGCTTTCAATGGACTTGCAAATTATCAACGAGTAGTTTTGATTGGCTTACTTGTTCATTGAACAAACCAATGCAAATACATCCAATCTCATTAATGCCCTGATTTGTATTAATACTCTTATATATCAATATAAATACATGAACCACTATTAAAATTGTTCATTGGATGAGCAGAGAATTATTAATTTTCATCTTTTATTCATAAATACCACCTCTCTTGTGTTTAATATAAGAACTAGTTGAGAGATTGAATATGGTCCTAAATATAAGAATTCAATTAATTATTTTGTCTCCTAAATTATAATTTTTTTCCTAAAATATTGATTATAATAAAAGGTTTTCATCAATAGGTAATGTCAATATATATGATTAAATAGGGTAGTTTAGGAAAGATAACATGTATATGTTATAAATAAATGACTTAATTAAGTTATTTCATCTTTTTAAATTAGTTATCTAACTCTTATATCAAGAACTGAAATTAACACTTATTGTACATGACTGCCCCTTTAAATAATGATCTGGCACAGCTCTTAAGACTGTAATTTAGTAATAAACGAATCTCTGCGATTTGTTTTCTTGCGATGCTCAGTCAGTTTTTTCATTTGGTATGTCTACAAGGTGCATCAAGATATAAAATTTACCGTTAACCACTAGGTTCTAAACAGTCCCTGTAGTCGAAGATTTAAGAAAAGGAAACAAAATAGGGAGAAAAAAGAAACAAAAAAGAACAAGGTAATAACACAATGAATTATTATTTTTAAAAAAATAATAAGAGAGAATAAATTAGTTCGATTTAAAAATAGTTTATTGCACACATTTGATCTCCCTTCGCAAATTACACTGATGCACGAATGAATTAAGATGGCTCCATCGACAATAAATGCTCGTTAAAACGCTTAATAATTAATATAATTTGCTTGTCCCTGGCCTCTAGCCACTCAAATTCTGGCTCTCAACAATGTAAATAATTAAATGCAAACCGAATCTATTGAGTTCACAGCAATAAACTTGTACGTACGGTGTGTTTGAAGAGAGATAGAAGGAAGAAAGTGACAAGATGCAGGCTCCATACATGCATATATAGCAGCATTTTTAATTTACTGTTAGGTTCGTTCTCTCTTTTCAAATGCAAGGAATCCAATCCATCCATTTTTTATAAAATAATAAAAACTCATTAACATTCTAATTATATTTGGTTTCCTCCCAACCTATATATATAATTGAGATGGAGTCGAGATTCATTGCAAAAATAGAAAGAGTAGCGGAAGCAATATCATCATACGATCGTCTCAAATCATGAAATCCGTCATTCTCATACTCTCAGTTCTTGTGTTCTTGGCTCCACACTGGGTTGATGCCAGAACGCACGTGAAGATCACAAACTATTTATATGGCAACTTGGAGCTGAGAGTTCATTGCCGATCCAAAGATAATGATCTGGGGAATCACCTTCTTCGTGCCGAGCAAAGTTTTGACTTCAGTTTCAGCCCTAATATCTGGGGCACAACTCTGTTCTATTGTAGCTTTAAATGGGACGGTTCTTATAAGTGGTTTGTTATATACGACGATGGAAGGGATGAATATAACTGCAATGACGCTACCTGCATTTGGCAGATCACGCAGGACCGGCCATGTCAGGTTAATGCACCTGGCAACGGTCTGCTTTGCTATCCCTGGGATGGCGAATAAACTTATCTCGATCTTAAACTTCAATTATTTTATTAGGATGTGATTGTTTTTGTATATCTTTGTTCGTTTTCTCTGTCTTTCAATTTGTGCTTCCATTTTGTTTGGAGAGAGAATGTTTTAATGTATTTTGGATTCCTTGCATTATTGTGTTCATGCATTTGAAGAGTTGGAGAGTGTGATGCAATAGAATGTCATTATGCAAACTTATAAAGGGTATATATAATGTCATAATTAATGACAACTTATAATGTATTCAATGAGTATTTGTTTCATATCGTATTCTTTTGCATTAAGTGCACAATATGCATTTCTTTATTTATTTGTCGGTCAACTCCCATCAGACACATATTTCCATGTGACTTTGAATTTGTGAATATGGCGAGCTTACTTCAACCTCTACATATAAAATCAAGAGTTAGTTAAGATTCATTATGAAGTAGAACGACAGTGGTAGCTAGAAAGAATCATGTCTCAAATGCTAAAACCCATCATTATCCTCGTACTATCATCAGTTCTTGTGTTGGCACCTCACTTGGTTGAAGCCGACACGCACCTCTCCGTCAACAACTATTTATACAACAGTTTGGAGCTGCTTCTCCATTGCCAATCTAAAGATGATGATCTTGGGCGTCACCTTCTTCATCCCAAAGAGAGTTTCAAGTTCCGTTTCAACCCTAATTTGTGGGGCACGACTCTGTACTATTGCAGCTTCCAATGGCCAGGTGCTGTGAAGTGGTTTAATATATATGAAGATGGTAGGGATTCATCCAATTGCGATGATGGTAAGTGCATTTGGATAATTAAACAAGACGGACCATGTCAGGTTAATGCACCTGGCTACGGTGTCATTTGCTATCCATGGAAGGGCGAGTAATCAAATGTTTATAAATCGATCTTCATGATGAAATAATAATTAAGTGATAATCAATACGTATTATCATTCTGAAGCATTGCATTTAATTTCTCTTTTCATATATCCCAACTGATTGATTCAGAGTGATCACGAATGTTCAGGCATTCAAACCAGTTAAGTTCTCGTTTTTTTGTATATCTTACGCTAATTTTTTCCTGGTCTGTTCATGTTTGGATTCCTTGCATTATTGTGTTTATGCATTTGAAGAGATGGAGAGTGTGGTGTAATAGAATGTGAATATGTAAACTTATAAAGGGGATGTATAATGTCATAAATGACCACTTATAATGTATTCAATGAGTATCCGTTTCATATCGGGTTCCTTCCATTAAATACACAACATGCACTTATTTATTTATCTATTGGTCAACTCTCATCTGACACATATGAAGTCATGGTGTTTGGAAAATTCCATAAACACTTAGAAAAGCATTTGTATACAAGTTAAAATAAAATTTTTTTCACGTACTTATCTCGTACACTATAAAATCATTTCTAAAAAACTAATTCAAACACCCTCTAATCTTACTTCAACCTATATTGTGTACACACGGACATATACATATACATAATCGAACATAGGGAATGGGCAAATTTCGGAACTCCATCGCCCTTTTCGCAATAGCTATGCTTCTATTGGTATCAAACTTTGCTAATGACAAAACGCATGTGAGGATCATCAACATGTTAGATAATAATTTGGACCTGACTTTTCACTGCAAATCCGATGACGACGAGGAGAGCATGTTGTTCATCATTCAGAATATCTGGAGTTTAGCTTCAACCCCAGTTCTTGGGGCACAACTCTATAATGGGAAGGAGCTTTTAAGCGATTTGATATATACAAATATGGAAGAGATGCGAGAAAATTAAATGTGCTACTGAGCTATGCAATTGGAAAATTAGGCAAAATGAGCCATGTATCAGTGATGCTTACCTTCAGGATGAGGTTTGTTGTCCATACAAGGATGACTAACATGCATTGTAATATCATCGCATTGGTCTTGATGAGTAATAAATACTACCTACGATCCTAATTATAAGACTTTATTTGTGGTATATAAACAAGGTCTTATAATTAAGACCGGGGGTAATGATAAAAATAATTACTATTATTTGTTTGGATATTTCTTCTTTCGTCAGCTTCTTTCCAACATCGCACATACCTCATTCCCAATTATGTGCTTCAGCTTCAAAGATCCGATTTTGTTTTAGGGAGTATGAGAGCGAATCTATGTTACTGCTTGAAAAAAACGAGAGAGGGAAGAAGATTCGGCTAGCTATCGATTTATATCATAAAGCGCTATCTCTTATTCCGATTTCTCTTACTGATCGTAACACTTTAAGTGTAAACAGTTGCTAATTTTTCTAGTAACTCCTTTTTTTAATTGCTACTTGGCGTGCGATGCTAAATCCTACTTTTAGAATAGCAACATATTAAAGACTTGCAAAGATATGAAATCGTAATATAGCAAATTTAATTAAGGACGTTGGCCTGAGAAAGCATCTCATTAGCTTGTTTTTCGTCAAGAACATTATGCGCGTCCAGTTTCAATGTCGATCTTTTTGATACATCTCCATAGTCTATTGTAGCTTTCAATGAATACTCGCAAATTACTAGCGAGCAATTTTGATTGGCTTAATTGTTCATTGAACAAACCAATGCAAATACATCCCATCTTATTAATGTATTTGTGCAAGAATTTATTATTGGTATAAATATATGAACCACTACCAACGCTGGATGCAGAGAATTACTATCATGATCCGTTATTCATAAACAAATGTTGCACATGATCACCCACTTTAACTTTCAAGGCTGTAAATATTACTACTTTAGAGAAAAATTATAAATTTAACACAAAGTAAATTGAAATACCATATTTAAAATCAGATTTAAAATTAGCAACCGGAGGTGATAATAAATTTGGCTCTAATCAATTTGTTCATTTGGCATATATCCAAAATCCAAAGCGAATCAAGAAATAAAATTTACCGTTAACCAATAGGTTGTAAACAGCCGCTGTAACTTCAGGCCAAAAAAAGTCCCTGTAGTTGAAAATTTAGGAAAAAGAAGCAAATAAAATAGAAGAAGGTAACACCGTAACAACACACCCCGAACTAGTTTTTAAAAAATAATAAGAATGAATATATTGTGCTTAAAACTATTCGATTTTCTAGAAGAGTAGTTTGTGCCACCCCATAGCAAACTAGGCAAATGAAAGTATACATCACTATCAATGATGCGCCAACATCAAGTATGGACAAATTTTACACTCTAGGAACAATGTGAGTAGCTAGATTTTGAGAAAATAATATAAAAAATATTTAACCGCGTTTTCAATTACTTAACTACCAACTTGCATATATCATACAGTAAATGACAATCCTATTCCACTAATCTGCAATAGAATATCCCCGACTGCTTTGAAGGGGTGAGCTATAAATATTACAAAACCTACAGATTCGGCATCCAGCCAGCCCGCTATGCCTGGAGATCGAGAACGGCTTCCCCTGCATTGAAAAGACAGCCATCAATAACCCTGCCGCATTGTCGTATGTGGAAGAAAGAGCCACATTTGATATCTTCTTCACCTACTGTTAAATTAAAATTCATTTGTTCTCTTTTTTTTGTGAAATAAATTCATTTCATATTTTATATGTGCATTAACTATATTTAACACTGCAATTGCTGTGTGTTGTTTGGTCTCGGTCAACTTGCAATTGCTTTATTGAGATTGCAGTGACTAAATTTGCTCCACGCTATGACTAGTTATAATGAGTCAATTTAAAAGTTGGGCGTTGCACGTACATAGGCCTGTAAATGAAATCCAGTGTTCAATACAGAAATAGGCTGGTTATAGCCTCATAGGACTATGCCCTTTTCTCCTCAGGATAAGCCTATATCAATATTCAATTGAAGAGCACCATTTCTTGGGAACTATACTAATTACCAGGCGACGCAAGCATCCCTCTAACCAAGGCCAGAGAAAAATATCACTTTCTATGCTCCATAGATATTTCCAGAAATTAAAAGGAGGGAGAAAATAAATATTTCAACGCCTTACCATGCATTCTCTTCACAAATCGTTCAAACTCTAAGAAGTTTTGTCTTTCCATAAGAAGTGGACTTAGTCTCAGGTAAGTAAACGATGTGAAATGTTTTCCATCTGGATCATTCATGGGCTTGGCATTATCCAAAATCTTATTATAGCCAGTTCTATTTAGGCAAGGAAGTGCATTCTCACTTGAAACTGGGAGGCAAACATCCCAAGCTGCATTCAACACCTGCCACGCACAATTAAAAGCACACTTCAGGGTAGACAGTTTTAATTCTGAAACATTCTTGAACATGCTTCAGATTTGTTTGAAAAGATCAATCATTATCACAAATTCCTTCCAAAAAAAATGGATTACATAGGAAACAAGCAAATAAAATATCCCCAGCTAGGATTAGATACTTACCTGCCAGACTAATCCCTCAGGATCTGAAAATGCCCCTGGAAGGTCCTCATGCTGGTTCAATGAGTGCAGGTCAGCGCAGGCTAAGTTTAAACTTGACCCGTTTTTCTTTAGCATCGCCATAATTGCAGCATAACCATCACGATTGCACGAGTTATAAAACCCAGCAGTTAATTCAGCAGCATGACTCACGGTCTTGTACCACCAGTGTATACCTGATAGCTGTTCAGAAATTAAAATATAGCAAACAGACTGTATCAAGACATAACAAATTAAATACCTTCCATCGCTCTGATAACTAGCGTTAATCAACAAAGAAACGGAAACACCAAAATTTCTTTTCCATCAGAGTCAAAGAAAAGGGGAAGAAAGAAATAAAATAACTATCCCCACCATCTGTATACAAAGACACAAACACAAGATCCACCTTCAAATAATTAACTAGTCAACCATAACACAGATTAAGGTCGTGTCTATTTCATGGAAAATAACCGCAGTTTTTTTTTCTTTTTCTAAAAAAGAAAGGATATATCTAGGAGTATTAGTGTCTTAATTCTGTTTTCAAAGAACAACAAAAAATATACAGTACATTAAAAATTCCGCCAAGATTTTCTATTTTTAGGTAAAACAAAGCTTAGAGCAGTATGAATGTAATAATTAGCTACATTGTTGTGATGATAAGGTTCATACTGCATAAAGAGATGAGGACCGCAATGATTATACAGATCCCTGGGTAATAAGAAAAACTCATTCAGGTTCTAATGCTGAAAAGAAAAATTTATTGGAAGCTCAATTTACAATATTATCTATGAACCACAAACTTCTTCTCCAGCTCACCTTTGCAGCAATGCAGGTTCCCTCAAAAGCTAATTTTGCCAGAGAAAGTACACAGTTTCCATGGTCAACCAAAACCTGAGAGTACCAGCTAAGAAAAAACCTGCCATAGTAACCATCATAATCTCCTCCATCACAAAAGAAACCTGCTTCGTGTGGTTGCGAATTATAGGTACCAGCATTATCTGGTCCTCTAGCCCACGTGGGGTGTCCCCTTGTTTCTGCTGCCTTCCTAAGACTTTTTAACAAATATTGATCATAGCACTGCCCACAGAGAATGAAGCCAATGAGCAAAGTAGAGGGAAAGAATAAGATCTAGGGTGCATGAGCAAAAGAATAGCAGCAACATTAAGAGAATACCACAAGAAAACCACAACGATCCAAAAGCTATAGACAGTACTCAAAAAACAAGAACTCATCCTTTATCCTGTATCTTTCTGTTTTTATCCAAGGTTTAACACCAATGAGCTAAAAGGTGTCTCTATAAATCAACAAACAAGTTGGACGGAAACCCCAGTCATTTGAAATAAGTCAAGCAAGCAAAAAAACAAGTGTGGCAAGTAGCTCAGGATAAACTAGAATAAAATAAGCTAAAAATCAAACACCAGGGGAATGGAACACTCATCTTCTGTTACGAGAACAGAATAGGTGTTGGCAGCTTAATTCCGCTTTGGTGTTTTGTTTCAAATTATCATTTCTTTTACTAAAACACCTCAAAATATCATTCACCCGGGGGGGGGGGAAGGGCTGAAAATATCATCGTGATGCAAGCCTCATTCTCCATGGGATGCAGAAGAAAAGACTTTAGCATCATCTAATTTGAATTGATATCACGGAATCTTGATATAATATGCAGGATCAGGAAGAGCAACGAAAGCAGTTTTTACTTTGGCCAGGAAAAAAAAAGGGTCAAAAATTGGAAACTCAACTAGCTAAAACTACGGACTCCAAAGAAAATGATTACCTGGAATTCACCAATACCAGGATATCTCCAACCATGCTTCACAGGGAAAGATGGGTATCTTAGCTCCCCACATGGACCGAGTCCAACTTCAATCATGGAGATTATACCATCCTCAAAGTACTCATCAAACTCTACCCTGAAGCTTCTCATGAAGTCAAAATAAACCTACAACAATGTGCAAAATGAAAAATTACGTGCCTTAGGTTGACGTCTGCAGAGCATAAAAATCGAAACTTTTCCACTCACCCACTCCAAAGAAAACATTTAAAATATGATTCAAACAAAGCCACTAGGGAAAATTATGAGCCAATAAAATTATGTACAAAGGGCGAATAGAGCTCTCCAAGGCCAGGTTCAAAAATTTTATCGATATGGCTGTCTACATAACGAAAGTCATTTCATAGTAATTGTATCCAATAACAATAATAACTGCTATCATGCCATCAATACCTCTAAAGCAGTTCGACCTCTTAAAACCCGTTCCTTATCTATTCCCCAAGAAAGACATTCGTGATTGTGCCTTCCCTCTCTATCAGTGAAGAAAATGTCAGGATTGCTCCTACCAATTTCAGCAACCCAATGGGGTATTGGAATACAAACATCATCACCAAAATTGCCTCCACATTCATGAAAAGACATCACAACCTGGTCAAGCATCAATAATACTCGTCAGAAAATCCAGGCTGTATGAGCAAGAGACTAACCAACAGTAATTAAATTTAAAGTAACCTGAGAAACTCACCTGCAGCTTAAGCTTAAGTTCACGCACCATCTGAAAAAGTTTCTTGTAACCATTCCAATTATACTCCAGAGGAGCATGCGCCTCCACTATTCCCCACCAGCAGTCTACCATAACACCATCAACATGCAACGATTTCAACACCTTCAGCTGCTTTAATAGACCATCCGGATCAACAAGTTCACACTTCATGTTAATGACACCCAACTGCCACCAGCAGCAAGAATACCATGGATGTTAAGATCAACATTTAGCAGCTAGCTACAATATCCTAAGAGAACATAAAAATTTATCAACATTTCTCTTTCGCTCAATCAATTAGATAAATTTTCCAGAACTCTGCATTTAAATTATGTAGAATAACCACTCACTAAGAGGCATATTTAGATTCCTTAGATACACAGTAGACAGATGAAGACAATCTAGAAAAATCACTTTAATGAAATGAAAAGACAAAGTAGGATAAAAAACATAGCTCACCGGTAGCATCACATAAACTGGAACATATGGGGTACCAGCAAAATCACGCTCAGATAATCTGTGGGGCATGTCCACAATCTAGAAAGAAGCATAAGTTATTGAAACAGTGCTGAGAGAATTACTTGTTTGGATACCACAATTGAATTATATGCAAAATAAATAGGATGAATATGCCCTTTATTAGTACATACTAGAGTATCATTTCAAGTGTCTAAGGGACAATCGAAGAAAGAGGGGGGGGGGGGGAGCAGAGACCACAACAATGGAAGCACCAATAAAAAATTCACAGGCAAATAGGATATTAGGTCCTCATATTAGGTCCTCAGTATTCCTTCATTAAGGTAACTCTTGTATTCTCAGCCTCTAAACATGCATCATGACAAATCTGGAAGATAAGTGACTGGCATAATTATGATTATAAATTATTAATCAATCATACAATAACCAGTTCATGCAGCTGCAGGCTGATAGCAACTGCAAGGTACTTATCCCCAAAAGAACCCTATATAATGGCCATGAAACAACTAGACGGCTTAGTTATAATACCTGCTTCTCATCAACATTATCCATTGAACAGCCAATGAGAGGATGGTTGTCTCTCTGTTCTTCTCCACTACCCATCATGGATGATGATTGAGACTGGGAACCTGAGGTTAGATCATAAGGTGTTGGAGCAGGCATAAAAACACCTTTCAATCGACTGGCATTATACTCTGAAGAGCTCCTGCAGCCTGAAGTGGCTCCCTTGAGGGAAGTAGGCGTAGTCTGTTGGGAAGCCATATGGGAAGCTGATGAAGTCACCACAGTAGAAGTACCACCAGCCGGTCTCTGACCCTGTAAATTTGATAAAAATTACCACTTGGATATTATTCTAATTTCTAATATTCTTGGTACTTGGACACCAGATACGAACAAAAGTTATAAGATAGCTTACAGTCATTATCTCATAAATTTAGTAAGTACCAACATGAATAACAAAAAGCCATTATTATCCATTATGAAAGCCATTTTAAAGGCCATTAATCAAATATTTGAAATTCAAAACCAAGACTCTTGGAAAAAAGCTACTAAGGATATTTGACAAAAATCAAGACAAATGGACTTAAGGTCAAAGATTTTAAAGATTAAAGATACAACAAAAACCAAAATGATTAGGGAACAGCAACCCCTCTAAAAACAGCATATATCCAAGAAGATACCAGTCCCTGTGCGCCCAAAGGACAACAAATTCAACCAGAGGTCATCTTACTTCAGTCTCAACATATAATTACCTGAGATCTTGAAGGAAAAGTAGTGCCATCTGGAAGAACCACCCAACCAGCTTCCCTCGCCAGAGCAGCAATGACATCATTTATGTCAGCTCTAACTCTAAGATTATAGTTTCCATGCCTCCGAAGCCCTGCCAAAATCCTTGCAGTTATAGCCCTACGATGCCTCTCTCTTAGCTTTGTTCTCTCTTTCTCTTCTAGAGGCCTACACCTCCGAGTACCACCACCTGGAGTGCTTGCTTGTTCTTGAAATTGCTGGCGCTGTTGAAAACTGTTGTTACCACTAACAGTTCCCATCCCACCATCAGCGCCTACCATCACTGGAGCATCATCGTGATTACCTACATTCTCTTCATCCTCATCATCCTCTTCTTTCACATCCATTCCCATTTCTTCCTCGTCATCTTCACTTGTTCCAATTAGCTTTTGCATATCAGTTGCCATATTCCGTTATCTGAACCTTCAATTCAGTCAAATACTACTCTAGTGATTTTTCAATACCCAGTGCCATTGTGTCTACGACAGGTTTCCTTTTTCAGATAGCAAGGCCATGCACGTTTCAATTTCAAAGGCTGCACCAAACAAAAGAACAATCAGTGCTCCATGCCAGTTATATGATGACATTAGTATCATAATAGCTTCTAAACATCATTTACTCATATAATCAATTATCAACAAGACGCCCTAAAACTTAACATTCTAGTTATAGTAGGAATTCATAACGCAAAAATCTACACTGAGTTCACAGGGTTTACTCTCTTAACATTTCCAGACACTCTAATGACTTAATTTCGCCCTCGTCATTCAAGAAAAAAAATAGAATTAAAATTCGAAAGAGAAATTTAGTATTCTCCTGCACAAAAGATATAGGAACATTCTGCTTGGTTTGCTTCAAGCTAAAGCTCAGCTTCCAGGCATAACTCTCATCCAAGACTACATTTTTAGCCTACAGAAAATCTTCAAAAGTACTGCGACCCAAAATTCCAGTTCAACCTTACCTGTATGCGCAAAATCATGTTCGTTGAACGGAAACCACTGCAGATCCGTCTTCCGCCTTCAAAGTTGGCGAATTCCGTCGTCCTTACAGAGATACAACAACGTCTACTTTTCCGGCGACCGGCACGGCGGTCCGGCATCGATTCATTGGGGAAGGCAGGGATCAAATAAGATCAAACCAGAAGAGGACACGGAGGCGACGGCGATGTCCGGCGGGGGGAGGGGTGATGTGAGGTCCGGCCGGCGATGGAAAAGCGAGCGTGTGAGCGAAGCATGCGAGGGGCCAGAGAAGGCGCGCGCGCGCTCGCTCGTGTGTGAAGAGACGAGCGTGTTGGGAAATTGGCACGAACGGGGCGTGCGATGCGTGTTTTTATCACTTATGTGAAAGAAAGCCAAGCTCAAGCTGGATGGGATGTGGAGCGTGCGGATTAAACGACCAACGCGCGTGGCCCATGGCCAGCACGGGATCTGCGTGTGTGACTGTGATCACATCCCGTACCAAAATTGCCTTCGCTTCTATTGTTACAAGTCTGCTGGGTTACATTTTTTTTCCCTTTACCATTATGAGATTTTAAATTGACAGACTTATACTTCAAAAACATTTAACAAAAGTACCCCAAGCCCTGTTTATAAGCTTCAATTTTGAAAGAAGATATGGTACATTTTATAAGTTTTAATTTGAATTTGTCTTGACATTTATTGTCTTTAATTATTTATTTTCTCTCTTATGTTTTTTCATACATTCTCTTTCATCTTTTTTTTTTATTTGTTATGAGGATGTATTTTAAAAAAATATATTTCTAATATATTTATTGTTTTTAATTAATTTTAACTCATTATTCATTATCTGTGAATTAATTATTTGAAACTTATAATAAGCACCTAGTGTCATTCTTTTACTTTTTTTTTAACCATTATGAGAGTTCAGATTAACAAAAATATTTAATGTGCTTGAGTTATAAACTCCATTCAACATTCAAAAATTGGAAGTCTAGAACAGATATGAAAGGGTATTTTGTTCAACTGGTTTCTGGCATGATAAGGTTGTTGGCAACCAAAACGGTCCCTGTGAGAGAAAAAACGAATATCAAATTTTCGAAGAAAAGTTGGGCTGTAACCAATACTTTAATGAAGCAAACCCACCCCAGAAAATAAAGCAAGTAAAATCTTGTCCAACTCCAAAATCCCACTTAAGAAGTGTTTGGATGAAACCAAACCATAGTTTGGAAAATAGCTTATGAAGAATAGATTCTGGAAAAAATAGATTTTATGAAGAATAGATTTTGTGAAAAAGTGATTCTGAGAAGTAAGAGTGTTTGGATAATTGTTATCAGAAGCACTTTTTATATGTACAAATTATTAAAAAAACATAAGTTAATATGATAATTACATAAAACATAGATTGTATGATATATTTTAATTTGAAGGAATAAAATTGTTAATAATATATTTTTTACCAATATAATTAATAATACATAAAATAATGTAATTAATAAATAATTAATATGTGTATATTTATTTATAAGATATAAGATTAAATATGTTTATAAAAAATTAATTAATGGGTGTTAAAGTCATATTATTGTTGAATTTACTCTAATAGACACGATCATACTCTCCAATTTGAGCCAAAAGCAGAATGAATTCATTTCTCCTGAAACCATGGTTTTAGGTTTCAAAACCATGGTTTTGACCCAAACCATGGTTTCAGATAATTTATGGGGGTGTTTGGTTGAAACCAAACCATGGTTTGGAGAATAGCTTCTGGAGAATAGATTCTGAAAAAAATAGATTTTGTGAAGAATAGATTTTGTGAAAACGTGATTTGATAAATGAGAGTGTTTGAATAGTTGTTATCAGAAGAACTTTTTATATACACAAATTTTACTAAAAAATATATAAGTTAATATGATAATTACATAAAAGATAGATTTTATAATATATTTTAATTTGAAAAAATAAAATTGTTAATAATATATTTTTTACCAACATAATTAATAATATATAAAATAATATAATTAATATGTATATATATTTATAAAATATAAGATTAAATATGTTTATAAAAAAATAATTAAGGAATGTTAAAATCATATTATCGTTGAGATATACTCTACAGGCACAATCATACTCTCCCATTTGAGCCAGAAGCATAATGAATTCACTTTTCTGAAACCATGGTTTTAAGCTCCAAACCATAGTTTTGATCCAAAACCATGGTTTCTGTTTTTTCTTGGGTGTTTGGCAAGTCTGGGACCCAAACCATGGTTTGGGTCAAAACCATGGTTTTCTATGTTATCCAAACAGGCCCTATGCCTGGTTGGGTTGTTTTTTTCCAAACATGGTTTGGATCTCCAAACGATGGTTTGGCCTGCTATCCAAACGGGCTTAGTTAGATGCAAAAAGGCAGAAACCCAAACCCAAACCCAAAATCCTAAATCACGGATTCATCATTCATCCCATCGTCACTTTCATTTCACTCTCGGCACGGCCTCACTCCACTCTACTCCTCGTCGCCGCGATTGCTCCGTCGATCTCAACCCGCTCGCTCGGGCGTTCTCTGAGTGCCTGTTTGATGTGATTCCTTCTTCTTCTTTTTTTATCCTATTTTAATTTGCAACTATGCTCTTCCTTTGCCACATTATGCCCACCCAGATTCCTTCCCCCCCCCAATGAGCTTGTTATTGTAACAGACAATATAATATATTTTCAGCCATGAAATTGAAATCTTTTAACTGGGCTACAAAAGGCCCATAAAAAGTCAAAACTCAAGATAGATGACCCTATCTTATTGTTCGTTTTCCAGCCCCCTGCATGATGATCCATAAAGGGTCGAGATCCTCGCCGCATCCAATTTTCTCGGCGTCCCTCAGGGATCAAAATCCTGTCCCTTCGAATGATCCAAAAGCTTACGGCTTGCCACGTCATCTTCAAACAATTGAAAATGAATCTTCACTTGGTCCCTCCCAAGAGCAAATATTTCCCAACCTTCAGCCTCTCTCTCCTCTTCGAACTTCGCGGTTCTTCCTCAGTCTTCCGCCTCTATGTCTCAACCATCTCTGGTCAAATTCATTCAACAGGCTGTGGACACTTCATCTATGGTCTCATTCCCATATTGGTGATGGCAGCAAACCAAAACCAAATCCTTGATTCCCAGTCATCCCTATTCCGAAAGCACTCACCAAATGAAGCCAATAATATATGAAACAAATTATAAATTAGCTCAATGCGAATTAATCCCTGGCTAATGAAGCTGAAAAATAAAAGGAATAAAAATTACCAACAGCAAAGGATTAAGAAGCACTGGTGAGAACTGAAAGTGTGTTAGTTTCCACCATGGCTTTTGATTGGAATAAAGCACCAACGTAGTGAAGAAGAACGGAAATGAACATACCCAGTTGAAGACAAAACCATTGAAAAACAATGAAGCCCGATAAATGTTGAAAGGAAAGGGAAACAAAAATGAAAAAAAAAATGTAAACTTTAGAGCCAGATTATTACAAAGAATACCTCAGTTCTTGTGAGCAAGTGAGAAATAATGAAACAATAGGTATTTAAGCGGCAAGAAGGGGTGTAAAGGAAAGCACCAAGAATGGGACCATTCACGAACCGTTCACAGAATAGGGGTCAGGGACAGCAGTGGCACCGACAGCTGAAGAAATACCAAACCCAAACATACTCATTGGCTCGTGAGGAAGAAGCAGAAACAAGAACAATGACATGGACCATGGAGATGGGTTCAACAACCTTAAAGAGGTGAATGATGAGAAAGGACAGCGAGGGAAGGCATGGCCGCAGGTAATGGTTGTTGGGAGTCGAATGAGGAGAGAGAAGCGAAAGGTTGAGGCAGGATGTTCTAATGAAGACTTGTTTTGCTGATGACGTGGCGAGCCATAAGCTTCTGGATCATTTGGAGGGACAGGATGACACTGAGAGGACTCGACCCACATGATAAATGCCGTTTTGCTCCGCTATAGTAGCCATGCCCCGGCATGGTTACGGACGATACCCCCATGGATTCAACTTCATCAGAGATTTGGCTTCCTCCGCGAGTCTGAAGTTTTTGTCTCATCAAAGGATAGGGGAAAATTTGACGTGGTGGTTCGGAACGAATGTTGCGAGTTACGGGGCAACTGTGTGAACAACTCTAAAAGAGGAAGCAGAATCAAAAGAAGGCGAATTATCGAAAAGCAGAGAGAGTAGGGAAGGAAGCAAGAGACCTCCAAATATAGAATATAGAGGTAATCTCTTCTACCCTACTTCTTCTTGCACTGTCATTGCTAAAAGTTTCGTTAGTGTCTAGTTGAATTCGCTTGCGTTGCGGGATTTTGAAAATGCTCCGCTGACGGGTGAATTTGGGAAGTTTTGAAACAAGATGTGCTAATGGGTTTGATACGTATGAATAATTGTTTCCTTCGTGCCGTTGATTATGTTTTAAATCGCTGAAAAAGAAAGACCATGGGCGACTCATTTTATGACACAAGCGGGTTCCATTGATCAATGGCGGGGCGCCATAATGAATTAACAATTTTCTCATTGTATCCAAGACATTTCAAGCTTCATGATCAAAGGACAATGTCTTGTGTTGTCTGATTTTTCTGTGACTTAGCTATATCTTTTATAATAATTTTTAGTTCTGCTATCCAGCAAAGCATGCAAGCACTGGGACTTTCACTTCAAGATAACATTGTTCGTTCACCCAAATTCTTATCCAATGCCACTCCTCGAAGTCTGGCATCTTTTCCTTTGGCTCAGAAACCCTCTAAGCTTGGCGCGAGACCAGGTCTGACTTCCAGATTTTGCAAATCACCCTTGTGGGTGAATAGAAAACGTGTTTGGAGTAGTTGTTCCCATTCTATTAGGGTGCGATGCAGCAATAATGGACAGAACGATTATAGCACGTACATGAGAAGATGTGTAGAGCTTGCAAGAAAGGCAAGTGGGTTTACCAGCCCCAATCCAATGGTAGGATGTGTTATTGTGAAGGATGGGGAAGTTGTTGGTGAAGGGTTCCACCCTAAAGCCGGGCAGCCTCATGCTGAGGTACCTACTTTTTTCTAGTCATTATGCTTGTAGAATAATGAAACTTATATGCGTTGTTATATTTTGAAAACGTTTCTGGTCTTCCCTTGAAATATTGTGATATTTTAAACTTGTGAAGTGAACTTCATTGAATTCAAATTATGATGTGAGAAATTTAATAAACTGCTGTATAATATTATGGAGATCTGACCTTAATTGTGATTCTTTTCTGGAATTTAGTTAGAACATCCTTGTTTGGTGCTTAATTTCTTTAGTTTGAATATGAATCAGGTGTTTGCTCTGAGAGATGCGGGTGATTTGGCTGAGAATGCCACAGCATATGTGAGCTTGGAACCTTGTAGTCATTTTGGGAGAACTCCACCTTGTACTGAAGCTCTGATTAAAGCCAAAGTGAAGAAGGTTGTGGTTGGAATGGTGGATCCAAACCCTGTTGTGGCCTCTAATGGGGTGCGTAGATTGAGAGATGCTGGAATTGAAGTTGTTGTGGGTGTAGAGGAAGAATTATGCAAGAGCCTTCTCGAGGCCTATACTCACCGTATGTTGACAGGAAAGCCTTTCCTTGCTTTAAGGTAATTTCATTCCACCTCTATCAGTTGGTATTTTTGCTTAATTAAGAGAAATTCTATGAGTGTACATTGGCCCATGAAACCCTAGTGTCATCGGGGCCACACAAACCTGAAAACTACCAGGTCATTATCAGGCCTTCTTTTGATGCCCAACTTTCCAGTGAGCTGTAGTCAGGATTGGGTTGACACCTGGTCTCTCCCATTTACACCTCCGTTTACTGATTTGCCTGCTTTTTAATATCTTAAATGGACTTGCATTTCATAACATAGCATATTCATGCGTAGCAGATATTCCCTCTCTGTCAATGGACACTTTCTGGATGTACTCGGACCCACAGCTATAGATCGTGGTGGATACTATTCGCGGTTACTACAAGAATATGACGCTGTGTTACTTTCGTCTTCCTTATTTAACGAAAACTTGCCATTGCCTTCATCCAAGGAACCTGGAGCAAATCAACCAATGCGTGTTATAGTACGAAGGAATTCTAGTTGTTCAAACCAAGCTCCTTTTGTCATCAATGAAGTTACTGGTAAAGATATAATTTTCACAGATAGTACAACAGCAGCTACTGAAATGGCTCACCAAGGAATTGAAACTGTGGCTGTTGATCAGGTAAATCTGGACGCGATCTTAGATTATTGCTATCGTCAAGGATTGTGCAGTGTTTTGTTGGATGTGAGGGGAAGTTTTTCTGAGTTTGAAGAGCTTGTCAAGGAAGGCATTGAGAAGAAGTATTTTAACAAGTTTGTGGCCGAAATTTTGCCATTTTGGAATGGATCTGTGAAGACGGATCCTCTAAAACCATTGAAGAGCTTTGAGCAAGGAGTAGAAGTGATAAATTTACAGTCCAAGGCCTTAGATCAAAGTGTTGTGATTGAGGGATATTTTAAATTTGAGTAAGCTACCATCTTAGTTGTTGGAAGGTGCATGTTCAATAAATTTAATACATAAAGATAATTACTTCAAATCAATCCTTACTTATTTAGCAGCTCATCAATTTCTTCCCATCGCAAGTTTTCAACCTCATGTTAATTGAGTTGGACCAACTTTTTTCCATGGTGTGATTTTTGTGATTGACTGACTAGCAACCATGAGGGTTCTTGCTGACAGAGAATAGCGACTTAGATGTACTGCATGCGGATGAATTTTTAGCCATTCATGTCAGCCGCGTTTGAGAAAAATGGTTCACGTGGATGTATTATGAAAAGTTCTAGAGGTACTTTAACTTGATCTCATGCCATCGAAAACTTTGCCAGCGCGGTACCTCTCCATGACACTCTTTCTCCGGTTATAAATTAAAACGCTGCATTTAAATAAAAAATAACACCCAGCCAATTATTATCAAGCCTCATTGATTGCCACGCTTTTCACATAGGCTCAAAACCCTTGTCTTCATCATCTCTCTCTCGTCGTCTTCCTATGATATAGATTTAACCCCAACCAAAATGGCCGCTGTGCATGCAGTTTTCCACAACCACTATTCACTCCCAAATTCCTTTCTTCTTCTTCTTTAGCCCCTCCTCCCAATGCTGGCCTTCGACAGCCTTCTGATCCTTTAGCTCTCAAATCATCACTTTTCTCTGGCTCTTTTAATCTCTTGCTTCTTCCCAGTCAACAAAATCTTATTTGATTATTTCTGCAACTCCTAGGATTTCCATGTGCATCGCTTCCAATGTCATTAGCAATACATGTATGTCGTGATTGCAGCTTTGCTCTTATTTTTCCCTCATGTTCATCCCAATATATGCATTATCAATATCAGAAATTACCGTCTGGTGTTATTTTTTACCTAAACGTACCATTTTAATTCAATGAACAGTGAGTGAAGAGAGGGTGTAATGGAGAGGTTCCACGCCGCTTGGCTGCAACGTTTTGCTCATATACAGTACGGCTTTTGTTATCGTAAGAGGAAAAATTCCTGTCTTAAAACTTATGATAGATAATAGATTGTCCTAGCTGAAGATACTATGAAGTTAGACTTGTTACTTCGTGAGAATACAGCTTGATTTGAACTTTCTTTGGCAATTTTTATCTGTATACTGCGACTCTGCGAAGCCAAAAAAAGTGATACTTTGTCACAGCTTCAATATTTATACATATGTACGTACGTACACTCAAATTTACAATGCAGAAAAACTATGTTTAGTTGCTACAACAAAACACTTAAAAAGATTTTATTCATTATGTACCCACATCAAGTGATATTAAAATTTTCACATAAAATAAAATTTGCAAAGATGAAAGTTGAAGGCCAAAACGTAATATGGGGAAACATGGGGTCTTTACTAAAACTAAAAACAACTTACGTCAAATTAACCTGAAGTTAGATTGTAATATGAAAAATCAAAATATAGTTGGAAACAAAAATATAATTATTTCAGCATATCTTCCCGCAAAAATAGCCAAGATAAATGTAATCAAAAGGATCAGCCTGTCTATTTAAATTTCCGATATAAAGAAATTCCTTTCACACGCTACAAGTTATCAATCATAGATTGTTGACAATTTAGAAAGCATGGCCTGCTCACCACATAATGAAATTTGAAAACTAGCTGCTAAAAAATTGAAACTACAAGAATCATAGTTGATGGCTGTTGAACGCATTTAGTTTTAAAAAATGGTCATCCAGGAACAACATACAATATCCAGAAGTGTATAACTCTTCCATGATAAAATTTACCGGTAATCATACCTACTAAAGCAATGAATTGGTGTCAGAAATCAGTGGTATAGATTGCGCGGGTTAAAATTTCTTGTTAGTCTGAGACGAGACATGGCACTGGGTACTTAGCTCGAAATTGTTCCTTTGTCAAACCATAATAGACAGCTTCCTTGCCTGAATAGGTGATAAAGTTCCAGCCAAAAGCAGACCCTCCAACAATATATGTCCCCTGCGGCTGTCCATCTTCTGCCTGCTGTTTTTCAAGGGCAACTGATGGTGGAATCTTAGTTTCAGATGGCCTTCCAGGCAATGGTGTTTTGCCTTCAAAGTTCTCGCAAGATGAAGGCTTGCTTTCCTGCACATTCTGTTTGCATAACTCAACCAGTGTCTTCAACTCTGGAGTCACAAGTTAAAGCCAAAGGTCAACTTTAACCAGCTGTAGATATAACAGGGACTTAAGTAATGATTTTATCTCTATATTTTCAGACAGCTTCGGCTTTATTCCCCAAAAGTTCACTTTCACCAGAGCTAGTCCTTGGAAATAATAAATTTATTGCATAGCAGCGTGCGGACCATCACATAAGATGGCGGGTATATATTTGATGGCAGATTCCACACAAACACACGAGGCTAATTTCCCCCAAAAAAAAAAAACAAAGAAAACAGAAAACAGAAAAAAGGTTACTGTTCAGATGGCCAGCCCAAACCTGTGTAAGACTTCATCAGCAGATCGTAACAAACTTAAATAATCAAGAATATCACCGTGTAATTCATAGTAGACCAGCCCAATTGATGAAACCAAGGATTTAAATTGCAGTTGCTGGTTCCACAATGGCATCAATTACCACCTCAATTTAAAACCAGGATCACTGTTTACAGTTGTTCGTTTACACACTGGCATCAAGCACCACAACCACTGTTTAAAACGCTGTATTAGCCTAAAAGATCTTCAGCACTACCAAAATAAGAAACCCCCACCAACCAGAAGGACGATAGATGCAAAGGCAATGATAAAAGCAAAATCTAGTAGACGGACAAGATTGAGATGGAGCTCAATGATCAGCTAGGCAGTAAATAAAAATGTAACTGGATGAGCTTACGTTCACGAATTTCATTAGATGCTTGGCAGTTTTGGAAGTCAGATGTTCGGAGTACCTTCAAGATCAAATGGAGAAAGATATTATTACATGGAGAGCTCGCCAACAAAAATAATAATAATAAATAAATAAATAAATAAATTAGAACCACAATAACAACTTCCATTTCTCCAAGAGCCCAAACAATGTAACCCAACAATTTCAGGTCAAGCATGTCTAATAACATGTCGTTAGAGTATTAAGCTTCAGATGTAAGGAAAAAGTTGTGGAAAATAAGACAAGACATTTGCATGTTTTAGGAAGCACCAATTCCGAGCAACAAAGACGATTACAACAAATGGAAGGACCTTTTCACAAATATTTACTCATTTAGGTTTAAAACACTTTTAACCGTCACTTCCATCTTACCTTCACAGAATCAATGCTACACTACTCAGTTTATACGCGTAGGACAACCTAAACGATGAAAGAAAGCCTATAAAAATATCCATTAACTTGAAAGGCATCTTTTGACTACAAATAAGCGCAAGTGCTTTTCTTCATTATCTCAGCTTGATGAACACACAGCATCTCCAGATCCAGATAACAAAATTTCCTGGTAATTCGAAAATAATACTGTGATTTGGATCTGATATTGGTCACCCATCAACCCATTTTCAGAAATTTCCTGATCAATAATAGCATAAACAATGTGAGATTAAGGGCATCAACCCCCTACCATAGGCCCAAGACCAAGAGCACCAAATTTCATAAGATGAGAAGTAAATAGACTGTCTTCAGTTCTACCACAGAATTTCCTAAGATTTATCTGCATCTATCAATTCCACCAACAAACAAACCACGTTGAAAAATTAAATAAAAATTCGTAGATTCCAACATATCCAGCAGTTAGATAGGTTTGGCATCAAGGCAAATTATACTAGATTTACTCGCATATTTAGCGAAAGATTAAAAAAGAAGGGTCACATCGATAACATGGTATGCGTCGACATAACCACTCTCAGGCCTTTGAGGGACAAATAGCTAATGAAATCATCCGATTTGAACCAAAAATGTAAATACGAACTGGTAAGGAAAAAATTCATGCTATTAAGAGTCTGTAAGGAACACAGACAACTAAAAGGAACAGAAATTCTACTCCCAGTCCCAGATAAGTATGATCTACTCAAATTCTCCAATTTTTTCGCAAATAGTATGTAATATACCTCGATAAAACGGGGACGAAGATCTCTGATAATAGCTCGAATCTTAAATAAACGGGAATTTTGCAAGTGGGCGTCGCTTTCGAGAGGTCTCTTCTTGCTCTTGGGTGGAAGGGCAGCGTAAGCGGGAGGAGGCTGGGGAGGCAGAGTTGGAGCAGTGCTTGGGGGATTGGAGACTTGAGGTGGAGCCTGAGCTTCTTTTGATTCCTCCATTGATGTAGCCAGTGCGCCGATTCGCGAAGAAAATCACAGTATTAACCGGGAAGGCAAAATTTATTTCGACAAAGAGTGGGAAAAAGAGGATTTTTGAGCGCAATGCTGCGCACAGTTCACCAGTCAATGATTCCATCGTTAAAATGAGGGTATAGTGGGATTTTCACGTCTCAATCTTCATTCTATTCTATTACTTATATATGCTGAATAAAAACATTAGTATATTATTACTGACACTTTGAGGCTATTTTCGTTTTGGGTTTCAAATTTCAATCCCTGTTTCGTTGGAATGCAAAATTCTTTGACCATTTTGTGCTTAGGAAGATTTCATAATGCCAACATTACCCTCGTAGCCCCAAAATGTCATCTAAGTGATAGTCGACGAGCATTTTGGTTGGCAGCCTGGATTGGTCTGCGTGAAGACGGGTGCGACGGCTGAGCAGTGACTGGCGGCTGATAGAGCCCACTCAGACGGTGGGGAGAACGTGTCCGACCTAAGGTAAGTGTTCTGTTAAAACTTAAAATATGGCTCGAAATCTCCTTGGCTTTTGGAGTTTTGGTGCCCCCCGATTGCATTCCCTTACATTAAAATTTCTTCTGCTGGCTTTGCAGAGTGGCTACCTTGGTCTTCGAGAAGATCCTAGTAAGCAACGCATAAGTTGCCTGAAAATTCTAGTGAGAAAACCAATGAATCACCACAGGATCTGCGTCTCTCTAGGCAGCGTTGCTGCTGTATTGAGATCAGGGCAGAGGTCTATGTCGACGGCATCAAAGTCTTTGACCGGACTTGGTAACATAAAAAATGGCAAGAACACCAAAGCCTCGAGTGAGCTGTGCAAGTTCTTGGGAGTCCCTGATCAATCGCGATCCGAAACCGCCTTGCTCCTCTCTAAGTTCATTAAACTCAACAATTCCCGGGTTCTTACTCTCTCCCTCTATTGTTTCTTCTTCTCCTTCTTTTTACGAGGACAATCTGACTTAATTGTATGAATCATTTCCGTGGGCAACCTACCCATTGTTTGATGAATGTTGTCCGTCACAATTATGAGAATTTTTCTAACATTATTCTTCAGGTGGTTCATATATGTCCATAGCTATTCATGTTGGCTTGCAAAAAATTTTCTTTTTGTGAAATGGGTTGTATTTAAAAGCACTTGGATTTGACTTGTTGCATTCATTTATCTATGATTCTGGTCACAGAATCTCTGAAGTTATGTATTTTTATTTAGTTATTTAACATCTGTTTCTAACCAATGGAAATTTTATTTTTCCCCAAGTCCATTCCGGGCCTATTTTGTAGATGTTAATGTTAACGTGCAACCCGTCCACAGGCCTACACCTAAATTCATGGAGCTTTTAGTGTTATGAGATGTGATGCCCCCCACCCCCAACCCCAAAAAAAAAACAAAAGAAAAGGAAAAAGCAAAACCATCTTTTTCCAGGCCTCTGGATGTCAATGGCTTTTGTACCATTTGACATGGCTTTTCTTATTCTGGTCTTTGGGGGAGATCTCCAGCTTAGGGGCATGAACAATTAAGCCCCCTCACCTTCAAAAGTATATAATTGACTCCCAACTCAAAAGTTTTGTGCTATCCATTAGCAAAATTGTCTGTGTTTCATGCTAGGAGATCTATCCCTTATTTGAGCCCAATAATGTTGGAATTTGAACTAGTCAATAATATTATTATGAAGCGTATAATACGCCATGCTTCTCATGTCATGTGACATCTGACCAAGCAAATAGGACACGTAGGGGTGTTGTAGACCCATACTTCCCTTTCCTCCAATTTTCCCAGCCTATAGTAGCCATGAAAGCTCTCTTGGAATTTTCTTTTGCATCCTCCATAGACATGCTAAGACACAAGCCTAACCCCTCAATTTCCAAGAAACTCATCTCACCTTGATGCTTAAAAACCTAGTATATGCAAAATTGATGGCAGTTGGCTTGATGGGAAAATCTTTTTAAGGTCTAAGGAAATGATGGAATATTTGGAATTCCTATCATTTATAGTGCTGTTGAACATGGGCCTCGAGCCCAAAGATAGAATATAGGTGAGGTGCAGAACATGTGAGAGTGGGTGTTTGATTTGTGGCATATAACATGGGTTTGGTTCCCCCCCCCCCCCACAAGGTGTGTATGGGACTATTCAGTGATATTGTGGAGAGCCTGTACCTCCCGAAAGTATGAATGGCGTTTCCTTTCCTTTTGCCCAGTGTTTTCTCCATACAAGTATACTGAGTGGAATATTTTTTTCTGCTGAATAATACATTTTCTGGAGCTTGTTTTGTGCTTTACTCTATTTAAGCTTGAACATTATTATCGCTTCTCACTTGACAATAAAATATACCCCACAGAGTCCTGGTATCAAGAAAGATAAGATATGGGAGCAGAATTTGCAAACGCTTTTACGAGGAAAAAGTAGTATTAGTTTTCCTGAGATTGCCAAAATCCTATCCCCAGAATTCAGCTCGGGCATCATGCATTTCAAGGACAAGAGTATGGACTCTTTCACAGACAACACAAAGGGAAAAGCCTCACAGAAGAAGGGGAAGTCCTCAAAGAAGTAGGATTTGCATGTTATGTGCCTCTCTTTTTGTGTCAAAAGTTAGGTATGTTTCTCTAGTTTGCTCTGTTCATGATACTCTGTTCTTTGAGCTCTACACTTGTCGCGCTCATTGAGTTTGAGCGCTGAAAACCCGGTTTATTTCTTCAGGTTCGGTTCATGGAATATTGTGTTATGGTAGACTTGCAAATTATAGATGCTGATCTTATAATGTTAAACTACTGGATCTTGCGCATCTCTTTTTTTTTTTTTTATATTCTTTTATTAGCAAAAACATGAGAAAATAACAAAAAAAAAAGCTAAAAATTACTAAATGTCAAATAAGAAACGTTAATAAAAATTTGTTGTTATCTGCAAATTCAGTGTTGCTAACACTAAATAAAGTATAGTAACCAAAACTAATTTGGAATTTAGTAATTTTCAGCCTTTTCTTTTGTCATTTTCCCTAAGAACATTGAGTATATATATTAATATTATTCAATTGTGACATTAAATTTAAGAGCATACAACATCAGAAGAAACCAAAAATGTGAGACGTGGTCATGCTAAGTGATTTATGTCATCCTGTGACTTGTTTTGTGAGAACAAGCATCTCATCAATGAATTCAGCACCAGCACTCCCGTCTTGTTAGTCACTTTCTAAACTATCATCACTGAATTTTTTCGCCTACAAATTTCCCTGAAATAAGCATCCATACTTGTTTGTACTAATTATCCTGAGGTTTTGTATCTTAGATTATTAAGTAATGTGATTCATATCATTTGCGTATGTATGTCACCCCTTCATCGATTTTGATTCACACAGCATTTCAAGTCCCAAAGCAGACTACAATGAAACACTAATACTCCTCTGGTCCTTACTATAAGACCTATTTAACTAATTTGATTAGATTAAAGAAGTTAGGTAAGTTAGTTTATTATAAGAAATGTGACATGTTTTTCCTAAAATACCATAATCATCTTTTTTAATACCTCTTCTTCTTCTACTTGATTATGGTTGAGGGAGTATCTATAAGGGTACTTTAAAGAAAATTGATAAATATGAGAAATGGGTTTTATATTTAGGACCAAAACTAATTTAACAATTGGATCTTATATTAAGAACTGGAAGAGTAATTAATATAATTTGGGAGTTGTGGCTGTGAGCTAAAGTACTCTTTGATTGAAATTTGCCTTTTGAAGCTTGTGTTTTTCTCGTGTCAGGTGGTTTAGGAACATAGATCACAAACTGTCAATTGTACAGCCGGATGAAGTTTATAAATTTGGGTTTTAACTTTCAGGTTATCAGGAGGTGCGGATACTTTTCAAGATTTTGCTAATAAGAGAACAATCTCAGCTCCTAGAAACCTCTCATTTGTGATGTGAAGTTTGTTATTCGATCTTATTGCCTTAATTTGTCGTTACATTGCATGGCGCTGCCGCGCTGCATTATTAATCGGATTGTTTATTACCTTCTAAGACTACTAATTGATGCAGATGCAGATATTTAAGATTCAGTTATTTTTAATTTTATGTTTATCTTAATTATTTATTTATTTATTTTGTTGTTAGTGGGCAAATTATTTTAAACCCACTCCCCCACTACTCATTTTTCAGGTCTCATTTATTTTTAATTTTCGTAATCAGTTTAGGATATAAATATTTCTTAGGGATTCATTTTACGGTGGACTTCAGATTTGGCATATTAAATATTGAGAACGGTTGTTTTCCTCTCTCCGTTTTCTTTCTCCATCTCTTTTTTCTCTCTACTTCCTCTTGTCTTCTCTTCAATTTCTTGTCTTTCCCCTCTCGTTGCACATCACTAACTTAGTAGTAATGGTTTTTTTTGTCAGAAACTTAACAGTAATGATGAGTCATTATCGTTTATTTCATGTACGGTGCATTTGTGTTTGTTACTAATCTTTTTGTCAGAATATGATACATATATAGTTTTCCACTAGTAATTTAGTAAATACTATTTCGGTTCTTAATATAAGATTTATTTGATTTTTATTTTGGTTCTAAATATAAAACATCAATTCACTTTATCTCTCATATTTATGTATTTTTTTTCCAAGATAATCCTTCTAACAATAGTAGTTTTAGCTAATATACTTGATTAACAAGAATATTTTAGAAAAGATAGTACATATTTATTACAAATAACTAATTTAACTTTTTTTAGTTTTTTTAAATTAGTTAATTAGTTCTTATAATTAGGATCGAAAGTAATATATGATTTTGAAAAATTATTATTTCCAAATTAAATTGAACAATTATTTCACACTTATGGTGTTGGCAAGTTATTCACAAGGACTAAATTCAAAAATTGCTAGGTTAAAGGTAAAAATACTCGAACTTAAGAATAAATAGTTTTGAATTTAGCGACTCAGCTTAATATGTCAAGAGATCTTACCTAATAATACCTCTTTAACTATTCATTTGCTCAAACCACATTAGGACATTAGGACTTTAATCTTTCAGTATTAGAAATAAATCTCAAATCATTTGTATAAGATTATTTCAGTTGATCTTGATCAAATTCTTTCCAATATACAGGATCTTCTAAAGAAAGGAAAGTTAGAGCATGCTTAAATTTTTGAAGACAAAGATAAGATATTATAGGTTCAAGTTTTTAGGGGAAAAGAAAAGCTCTTAATGTAAAGAATTTCAATCTTATTTTTATGACTTATGAAACCTGGACTTATAGCTCCTCAGCTTTAGATGCAAACAGACAATTTTGCACAACCTGACTCTCAAAAGCATAAAGTAGAACATAATATGACTCACCAGACGTAAAGTGGGACATTCTTTATGAAAGCGGATTTAAAGCATGATGCGATCTACTTAGATGATGGTTGAGTAATCTCAAAATCACTTTTTAAAAGTATTTTTTTATAAATTAAAGTAAATTTTTTCACATATTTATTTCGTTATAAAAACACTTTTAAAATTATGATTTTGTTTCTACTCAAATATTTTTTTTAAATCAATAGAAGAATCTTCTCCATTCAACAACCTCTAGTATCCTTGAGAATCCTATTCTTCCACGCAAATATGAAATTCTACTATATTTTTATTTAAATTAGAAAAGCATTCCAAAAGTATAAATAGGGAAAATTGCAAAAAAAAATCCTGAAATTTGAAAAACACAAATAAAGACCCATAACAATTTTATTATGGTTTTTGACAATTTCATGATAAAGTTGTCACAGGTTTCTATCTGTGTTTTTCAAATTCCAGAATCTTTAATTACGATTTTCCCGTATAAATATATTATTTATAATAGTGTCAATACCATTTTCAAAGAAATTGTTATCATAATATTTCTTGTAATAATCCTGCAGTCCTTACCATAATTTCGTTAAGTATTCTTCAAAGTTCAGGATCGCACTACTGGCTCCTCAATATACATCACGTTTTGTTGGAAAACCTAACAAAAATTGAAAAATATGATCATGTTTCATCCAACAGTGTCAGTGGACACGAGAGAAAAAGGAAATCCTCTTTCTTTCTTTTTTGGGAACGAAAACGCAAATGAACATATAAACAGAAGCAAATTACATGAGGATCCATCAGGGAAAAGCAAATCTTGTTTGGCAATCGAAAGCCAATTACAAAACTGAATGAAAGAACTTAAACGGTTTCCATGCATTTCGATTTTCTTTTACAGGTGAAAAAATGCTTTAGTTTCATGCACAATCAATCAAACCATCAAAAGAACCGAAGTGGTGCTTTTACAAACCATCAAATGCCACCACCCCTTTAAGGGCTGTATTCACCATCACTCATTCAACCACTGCTTATGTGAAGATTTCTTCAAACACATGCTTCGCTCTCACAAATATGAACTCTTCTTGCGGATGAAACTCCTGCATTGCCCACCAAAAACTTGTAGCCAATTGTATGGTGGGCGGTCATGATGCAGAATATAACCAGCAATAAATTCTCTGTACAGGCTCCTCACTTTGGTCCACCAGCTGCATTTCGCTTGGCTTCCAGTGCTGTGCCTTCTTTAAGTGCTACTTGGGCTTCACTCTCCATCCCGATCTTGGCGAGAGCCACTGATTGAAGATAAGATGCAATATGCCATACGGGAGAGATGATTTGTGCTTGCATTGCATCATTCAGAGCTTCTTGAGGCATGTCACTGATGAGATAACATAAACTGCGCCGTGCATAGACTGTTGGAGAAATCATTGTTCCAGCATCAATGAACTGCATGTAAAATAGGCCATCAGTAAATATTATATTTTTATAGAAAAGAAGAAAATTAGATGCGAGGGATATTGTAATTGCGTATTGGAAAGGGAAAAAAGTTTACAGGAGAACATATATTTTTTAAATAAAAAAAAACCATGTAAAATCTTGTCCCAGAGAAAGAACATATTGAAGTCAAATAGTGCAGCTAATTGGGATGTCCTTAAAGGTTCTCCCAAAATGATTCCTTCAGTGAATCAACTCAAGAACCAAAAACTTGATTTTTTATCATGAACCCCATAGAACATTGATGCAGAATACTAGATAAAAATCAGAAGCATTATCATTCACCATCACGAAAAGATCACATTAACTATGACAGAAGGGTCTAAGTCGATATCCTCTCCAATAAGAAATCGTATCTAGAGTTATACTTGAAAAACACTACTTCACAGCAACACCGGCATGTTTGCAGGAAAGTGTGCCAAGTCCAACTATATACAGTAAGAAATCTACCTGGGTGTAACACTCAATAGCAAGTCGAAAATCTTTCTGCCGGAAAGCAGCATCTCCCTTTTTCTTACAATTTAGCGTGTCCTGCATTTGATCAGTCCACATATGGAATGATAACTGCAGTACAAGAAAGGAAAATACAAGTCAATATCTCAAAATACCAAAAAATAATGTCCTCATAAATTACTAGTTGATGAACAGTAGAAGATATAAGCCTATCGAACAAGTGAGTAAAATAAAATTTAGATAGACGAACCTCGTTTGTCACTCCTTCATCATCTTTATAGCCAATATTTTCCAGAACTTCATGAATAGCGGTCAAGTCTTTTCTTGAGCATGCTTCACCAAGTGGAGACAACGAAGCAAAAGTAGCGCTGTGCGGAATACCCATCAAGACATGTGAAGGAACCTAGAAAGCAATGGAAAGCTATATATGTTTAAAGCAAGACAAAAACAACAGGAAATAGTAGAACTATCAGCTGACAGCACAATGGTGTCATGTTTTTCATGTACATGTGCGTGTAGATATGAACGAAGAAGCTAGATAACATCTTCTGTTTAGATTGAAATTTTAATTTTCATATTGAAAGTACAAAGGGTAAAGGCGTTCTCAACTGCGATAAAGATGTGTCTGGATGGAGGATAATGAGGGGGAAAGAGACCAGAAGATTTCGTTGCAACATTTTCTTTGTTCAAGAGATTGTTGATGAGAATGAAGTTTCAATTAACCTTCCATAATCCTGTGAAGTACTCTCTCCTTTACAATGCTGAGTTTTCTCAAAAATTTCGAGAATCATGAAAGGTTAACTGAAAATTATTCATTCTCCTTCCCACCTTATAACAAGCTCTCAAACAAGGTGATGTTCCAACGAAGCCTTCACTCCTTGCCCCTTTCCTCTATAATTACACCCAATCCAAGCACACCCAAATTTAGAGCCATAGGCAGTTAAAAGATATCAGAGTTTTGTTCCAGGTTTAAGTTATAACAAGATAAAACTCAAGCAAAATACTTTAGGCTCTTGTGATTAGTTTATTCTATAATAAAAACATGTGAACTTTATTTCAACTTAGTAATACTTCGTTGTCTCCTTTAAAAATGTTTGTCCACATATAATATTTTAATTGAAAAATAACAGGAAAGATATGGAAAAATGAATCAAAGCTTTTCCACTGAGTCTAGGAAATTATGCATAACTGTCACATAATAATAATACACCAACCTCGGTTTCTTTCTGAAGCGGTGCCAGTGCAGCCATCAATGACTTGGAATTCGGCCGTTCCCTAGGTTCATACTGTAAGCATCGAGATGCCAACCGTACCAACTCAGTTCCGTCACCATTAGAAAACTGTCCTTCCAAACAAGAGTCTGTCAGCATCTGAAGATTTCTGTCCCGAATCAAGTCGAGGGCCTGCTTCACATTTACTAATAATTAGATACGCCAATTTACAAATATTAAAGCATAAGCACTTAAAATGATATAACTATGAATGCATGGAATCTTCCACTTAAAAGATGAGATGCACAAATGTGTCAAAATTAGCAGATTTTCTTTTCAAATTATTCTTGCTTTTGAAGGAGGCAGGGGTGAGAGGGCTCTTTTTTCTTTAATAACAGTGACTTACATGGCTTGGGGGGATATGCTTTCCACTAAGAAGATCAAGCAAAAGAGTGCCAAAGCTATAAATTACACTTTCCGGTGTCACCCTCCCTGCAGAAAAAAGAAGAGGTATCATAATATCTGAATCACCCAACTCAAAACAATTAATGATTGTAAGATTTTCAAAGCAACACACATTTTGTTTTGAAATAATGAAGCATAACTTTCTGATACAAATATAATAAAACTAAAAGTGCATAGAAGTGTTCCACACCAGTTCTCAGATACTCTGGTGGGGTAAAGGCCAAATTCGTGCTATAACTCTTCCCATCCCTACTATTCTTCATAAGACCAAAACTCGAAAGCCTAGGATTACCGTCCTGCAAAATTCTAGCATATAACTTGTATTAATCTAATAATGTTTGTATGTGTTATAAAATGGGGAGACAGAAAAAACTTACCTCATCAAAAAGAACCCTATATGCATTAAGGTCATGATAGAGTGCACGCCCTTTACTTGTGCAGTATTCTAGAGCTTGTGCAATATATAGAACGACTCTCAGTCGCATTGCCCACTTCATAGGTTGTGTTTCCCCTAAGTAAGAGATATGAATATGTTATTTCATATTCATGAAATTTAAACGTACGAGGACGTAAAGAAAAAAAAAATGACAATATAGGTATTGGACTACAAAAGAGGCAAACTGCAAATATTGTTAAATATAAAATTTGCCTGGCATGTAATTTTTGACAGATTCATCTAATAAAATTCTAGACCTATTAATTTGCTCATACATTGTCCTAAAAGGGAGGGGGGCCAACTCTTCCCACCAATTAGAAATATAGAACACTATAACAGTAATTTTGCAGAATAAGTCCATATTGAAATTATCACAAAAAATTAGTCCCAACTTCCGTGTTGGTAATCAGAACATGCTTTACAAACTATTCAAAGAATTCGAGATTGCTCCAGTCCCGATGATAACAGACAAAATATTCACTAAGAATTGGCAATCCGTAATAACAATAAAAGGAAAAAAGTTAGAACTCTGGTCGTTCAGATACCAATCCCATAGCCTACACCAAGGAGGCCCCAGTATAGGCATAACACAAAGAAGATAACAATAAAACCATAATTCTTGCTTAAGTTCGTAAAATAATAAAGGGTAAAATGAATGCTTAAGTTGAAAACATGGCGTATGCATTGAAGGAGCTCTTACAATGAAAGAGGTGTTTGGCAAGTGTTTCGTTTGGCATATATTCAGCCACAAGCAACCTCTCATCACATTCACAACAACAACCAAGCAAATTTGCCAATCTTTGGTTGCGGAGCTGACCAACTGATCTTGCTTCCTCCTACAATTAACCAAAAAAAAAACTTATTGTAACAAATAGGAACTGAAAAGGAGCAGAAGGATATAACAGCAACATTGGTGTACACCACTCGCTTTAGAAAAACAAGAAAACTGAATTTCTCTTCAGCAATGATCGACTTCTTTGGGAGGAAAAGAAGAACTTGGATGACTACCCAAAAGCCCTCAAGGAAAAGAAAGACCAAAGATAACCCTCAGGACTATCCTTCGTTGAGACCTTTACCCAGAAAGGACAGAAAACGTTGTTTGTGTAAAGTGTTTGTGGCCTTTGTTTGCAAGCGTGGCATCAATATCTTAATATCAAGTGTTAGGGAAGTACAGAATCCTGAACAGAAGAAATTCAGTTAGGAGCGCGGGTGAAGATCTTTTTTTGAAAAACAAAACATTTACCAAAAATTGCCGGGCATCAGGCCAAGCATTTCTATTGAAACGCTTAACAGCAATTCTCGTTTGATTCTCCAGCTTCCCTTTATAAACAACATTTGGAGCCTTCTCCCCATGTTCAGATACAATATTCTCCACAGCAAAACCAGATGTTGCATTCTTAAGCTGCTCAAATGTATATTCACGGAATGCAGGCCAGTTCCTGGTGTCGCTTGTATCCTCGTTAACTGGAACAATCATTGAAACAGATCTATAAGCCATAATTTCATTTCACAACAGAAAGCTAAGTAGTCTTACTTTTACCCACCGGCATCAAGAGCTTCAAGAGCAGATGCCTTTACTTGTGAATTCACACAACATGGAATGAGTGTGGAGCACTGAATTCCCATTTTCTTGTGCCAAAGTTAGATCAGAAGTTATAAAAGTATCTTCCACTTTCAAAGATGTAACTTCCTTGAATATAATCAGAAGTGCTAGTGCCCAGTCCAGCTCAAGTTGGAGTCTATAAACCTCAAGTGCTAGTACAGGACACCTCAATAATGGGCTTCGATGATTGGTCACAGAATATCCAAAGCTTGAGCAAGTATGCAGCTGCTATATTGTCCACTAACACATACTGGAGCCAGAAACCCCTGTAAGTTACCATAAAACTCTCCTTCAGTGAAGGTAAGAGGTAAACCAACAAACTCAATAGCATGATCTTAATCAACATTGGGGTTATAGCAGAATTTTCTATAACCGATTCCATTCAATTAAAGCAGAACAATTTGTAGATTCCGTACTTAATTTTCCGGAGCACTACCCTCGGGAACCTTTTAGTCGGATTAAGACGGAAACAAGGATCAGAAACTGCTTCAATTACGAACAAGGGTGGAAATAGGACTCTTTTTCGTTTTTTTTTTTTTCGGGTGAAAGATCATGCAATCTTAAACATTAAGTATGTAAGCATTTAAAGAGCCGGAACTCCAATCTGGATGGTCTTAAGCGTGATAACCTACCAACCAGTAGTTTCTAATTTTTAAAAATAAATACGTCAGATATGAAGATTTAAATGCACAAGATCATATGACAACGCCTAACATCCAGTATCTTCCTTAGTATCTCTCGGCTTACTGATTTCCTCTTTCAGAGTCAACTTGAAGAGTGACTTAACTGCCACACAAAATGCTACTCAAGTTTTTAAGCTAAATAGTAAATATCCAGTGAAACACCACTTTTCAACCTACCGAAAAAGCCACTTCGTCTTTAAGCTTCTTCTTTCTTCTCCAACAGCAAAGCAAAAAGTTGATCCACCTTGAGCAGATAAAATGTGTAATCACCTTTTCTTATTTTCCTCTTTCTCGATCGAATCAATGCCTTTACAAGATCCACATTTTCTGTCCTAAACCTCGTTCGTAATCCGCAAGTTCAAGTCTCTTCCTTGATCCAATCAAAGCCCCTGATCTCTCTCTTCTCTGAAAATCAATATTTCCAAAACCCGAAACAATTCTTCACCTCCTTCGATTTACAAAGATCAAGTAAAATATAAATATTATATATTACATGAATTACAATCAGTCAAAGCCGAAGATCTACATGAGGCAAGAGGCAAAGGCAGCAGCAGAATAAGAAGACGGTGGTGATGATGCCAAGCTTTTGAATTTTTTACATTAATTTTTTTGGCATTTTCGATTTAAAATAAGAATGAATAAGCCAATTATTACCGACACGGTGCAGGTATATATTCAAAAATCTAGATTCTGCACATTTTGTGTCCCATTTTATTAGTTGTCATAATGGCTGGTGGAATAGTTTCCCCTGGGCTTGGGGCCTATTTATTTTCAGTACTTTATTTTATTTTTGAAATTTTAAATATTAAGGATTTTGGTAATATATTTTATTCCACCGCCTTGGCAATTATCACCAAAATTGGTTTGGGATTTTAAAGAGAAAGAATCGGGAATTTACGGAGCTCATGGAATCAAATAGTCAAATACTTTACAAGGCAAAATCAACCAGCTAGTTAAGTCCAAGGGTACAAGATCATAAACAGTGAAAACTGAGAAGTGAACAAACCAACGTTAACGTACATAAGTTAAAGTATATTGGCTGAAAAATAATCAACTTAAAATATATTTATCAACAAGGTTCTCAACGATAAAATTTGAACTCACAACTATGAGTCAATTCTTTATTAATTAGATTAATTATTGTTAGTTATATATAATACTTCCGGTTCTTAAAATAAGAGTTAGTTAACTAATTTAAGTAGATTAAAAAAATTAGTAACATGAGTTATTTGTAATAAATAAATATTATCTTTTCTAAAATATTATTACTAATCAAATGTATTGGCTAGAACTATTATTCTTATAAGAAATATCTTCAAAAAAATAGATAAATATGAGAGAAAAAGAGGATTAAAATCTTATATTTAGAACTAAGATTAAAATTAAATAAATTTTTATATTAAGGACCAAAAATATTATCTAGTTTTTTTTTTTTGGATTACAAGAGAGAGGGCTCTCTGTTATCTAGTTGCTTAAAATAAAAGTCTCACATAAACTAGGCTGAGCAGAGTGGGCCGGAGGAGAGGAATAGGAGTAGGCAAGCAAGAGGGAAGTCAGACATAACCCTTTTGTTAAAAAAAAAAAAAAATAGTGAGATGTAACTTTGTGGAAGCGAAGCGATATCCAATTTTGGGTCCACATAACAGACATTCGTTACAGGTTATTTCAATCATGCAAATGGACGAAGAGGCCCGTTGGGACAACAAATGGGCCACGAGGCCCATTTGAGCTATAAAAAAAAACATTGTCTTGCCCGAGAGAAAGGCAAGGCGCAGATGCCGAGCTGCAGACGCTGACCATCCTCAATGGATTAACCCTCTCTTTTTGGTCTTCGCTTTTGTCTTTTTGAATTAGCTAGAAAGTTATGTGTTTGTTAAGATATTACTCCTCCAATCCTTAATATAAAATCTATTTAACTAATTTGATTAGATTAAAGAAGTTAGATAAGTTAATTAATTATAAGAAAAGTGACACATTTTTCTTAAAATACCATAATCATCTTTCTTAATACCCCATCTTCCTCTTCTACTTGATTATGGTTATAAGAGTATCTATAGGGGTAATTTAGAAAAAATTGATAAATATAAAAAATAGGCCTTATACTTAGGACCAAAACTAACTCAAGAATTGGGTTCTATATTAAGGATCGAAGGAGTATCAAAAAACTAAACACACTTGTTATCCATTACATTAAGCTTTTTATATTAGTAAAAAAATGAAGGAAAAAAAAAACTAAGTGTACAAACTAATGCAATATAGTCCGCTTCTTTTCAACAAATTAAAACAAGTGGATTTCGCATTTAAGGGAAAAAAATAATTTTTTAATAACAAAAATTAGTGCCAAGGTACGTAAACGGTAAAAAGAATCACTAGATTTGACTTAATTGAATCATTGCACTAATTAAGCAACTATGTTTAAGAGGCCGACTTCTGTCCATGAATAATTAAAATTTTGGAAGGGATTCAATTTGTCAGATATAATTTTCAAAACAAAATGGAGGTGAAATGATTAATATGATACTACTACCTCTGGTCTTAAATATAAGAGTTAATTGAGTAATTTGAAGAGATTAAGCATACAAGTTAAGTTAGTTATTTATTATAGTATATAGGTATTGTATTTTCTAAAATATTCTTATTAATTAAGTGTATTGCTTAGAACTATTATTATTAGAAGAACTATTTTGAAAAAAAATACATAAATATTATAAACAAAGTAGATTTGAGTCTTATATTTAAAACTAAAATAAAAATCAAACGATGTCTTATATTAAGAAGAAGAGAAGGTAATACTATTCTCTTAAGCTCTCGAGTTATCATTCACAGGCATCGGAGAATTTTATACATAGAGAGAGAGAGAGATCCTAATTTTTATGTAGGGAAAAAATCAAATCGTCCGTGGAATTAGCTGCCACAGGCAAGGGTGTAATTATGAGGGATGATTGGTTATGATTAAGGAGTATTAATTATGGTTGTATTGTCATTAATGGGAGGGTAGCTGGTCTATCCTTTCAGAATTGGGTGATTACTTAATGATGACAACAATTGTTTGGTTATAATTGGCAAAGAGAAACACGGATGAAGTAGTTGATTATTACTAATATATGGAAACAAACAAGTAGGATGGTATATCTTTGAGAAAACTCCTCCTACTACGCCCAAAATTAAAACACCACTACTTGTTAATTAAATCCAACTACACGTCGTTGTTGCTGACTGGAAATTTTCCTTTAACCCCGTGATGATTTGTATACGCACTCTGAGTGGAAGAATGTCGGGTTTTTCCATTCTAATTGGTGGGTATAGATGGTGCAAGGATAAGATCCTAATATAATATTGATGCTATTGCACATTTGCTCAATGTATACGCATGCCTTTTTTATGAATTAAAATACAAAAACAAACATAATAATAAACTGTCACTTTATAAAAGAGGGGCAGTTAGAGTTTGAAAAATATTATCTGAAATACGCAAATAAAAACCAAAAGGAATTAATCAATGCAGTGAAATGCTGATAAGAAGTTAAAAGCAAGCTTACCAACGTATATAAAAATATTGGTGTTATATACTACCTCCGATTCTTAATATAAGAACTAATTGATCAATTTGAGTAGTTTAAAAAAGATTAGTTAAGTTGATTATTTGTAATAAATAAGTGTTGTTTTTTTCTAAAATATCCTTACTAATCAAGTATATTTGTTTGAACTACTATTATTATAAGAACTACCTTAAAAAAAATAAATAAATATGAGAGATAAATTAGATAAAAATCTTATATTTAAAATAAAAAATAAAAGCTAAACGAGTTATTATATCAAGAGGAGGAGGTTGTATATTGTTACCCATGAGTTTCTAACCTAATGACATAAAATTTTTTCTGTAAGTAAAGAAGTAAAGAGGCATGCTTTAAACTCGCACGTGCTCTTATGCTGTTTATCTGTGTCCCTTTAAAAGGGTGTTTGGGTAAGAACAAACTATGATTTCAGAAGTACTTTTACAGTATACGAAGTAAATATATAGAGAAATTTGTTTTGATTTACAAAAAAAATGTTTCTGAAAAGTAATTATGGGATTATCCAAACACCCCTTGAATCTAATTCAGAGAAGAGAAGTCCGCATGTTATTAGCTCCCAATCTTGTCATGCGTGTTTCCAACCTTCGGCCTTTAGGGACTTCCCTTTTCTTTTCACTCAACAAAGCCAATTAATCCATCAAATTATTGAAGTTTGAAATAAATTCTGAAAAAAAAATTCAAAAATGACCCCAAAAATTATTATAAGCTTTTTATCACGTAATTTGCATTGTGTACGTAGGATGCATAGAAGAATAAAATTCCATTGCCTGAAATTCAAAAGAAACCACATTATATTTATGGTTTCATACAGATATTATAATCCTCTAGTCCTATTTATAAGACATTTTTAACATATTTTACATAAATTTAGGAAAACTTTAAAATGTATTAACTTTCTATTAAAATATAATAATTTTTAAATTTTATTCATATTTAATATATATACATTTTAAAAGAGATAACTACCTCTATTATAATAAACGAATGACAAAATAGTATATTTATATTAAAAATTTAATAAAGTGATTTATAAATAAGATAAAAAAACTTTCTCTCATTATTTTATAAATAAGATCAGAGGAATATCTTATATTAAAAGTAAAGCTTTTTGTGCACATGATCCAATGACCAGCTTGAGTCCTCAGCCCATGATTTCATGTCCGTTACATGATTATGATGGTTTAAAGAAAGAAAAATCATGCTTGGTCAAAAAAAAAAAAAAAAAATCATGTCTGGGGACATGTTTGTATATGATAATAAGAAAATTCAATTCTATAATTGTAAAATACGTGTCAGGGTGAAGAATGTCAAGTCAAATTTCATTTGATTTTTGGTTCTAAAATAATTAAACACCGGGAATTTTATTTTTATTTTTAAGTTATGAAAAACATGTACTAAAAAATTTATTAATTATCTCTCTGTTTTTTTTTTCTTTTTCCAAATGCCGAGCCATTAATTCCCTTGCATCATTAGCTTTAACTCGAGTTTAGGAGTATGCGAGAGCGGTTCCTCTTCCCCTCCCTTCCTCTTTTCTCTTCCCATCCTCTTTTCTCTTATTTTCTTTTAACTATTGCATTAATACTTTAACAGTTGAGATTTAAATCTTTTTAAAATTATTATAAAAATATTAAATTATAAAAGAAAATAAATAATAAATTACAAAACATATTAAAATTTTATAAATAGTTTATAAAAATTAAAATCTCAATTGCTGAAATATGTTGATCTAATGTTTCAAAAAAAACAGAGAGAGATCTGTAGGGCATCTCTGTGGATTTTTTTTTTGGTTGGAGAAAAATTAAAAGGTCAACGCATGGGCGCTCTAGGCATCATTGTGATTTTGATGAACAAGCCTGAGTCATAGTCATGCCCTATTTTGTTAAAGTAAAAGCTCTTCATGGTTTATACAATGGAATACCCCACAATTATT